ACTGCTTTCTTGTCTCTTCCTCCGGAGTCTCTCCTGCAGCTGAGGTCCCGCATGCGCTTGTTTCTGGGGGCTCCCGGGTCACATGAGGGTTGCTTGAGGGTCTGTGCAGGAGCCTGAACTTTGCGATGATTGTCTACCCGCCGGGTCAGGTTTGGCTTCGTTGGCTGTTCTGGTTCCTTCGGGGATGTCCGCCTCTCTCGCGATCGCTGGGTTCGGCCCCTGGGGGCTTTGCGTCGGCTGCTGAATCACCGGCTTCCTCTTCAGATTTTTCGGGATTTGGTGCCTTGGCGCCTGCCAGAGTCCTCGCTCGATGTGTTCACGGACGCGTCTCTCAACTGGGGTTTTGTGACCAGTGCTCACCAGACCAGCCAGGGACGGTGGGGTTCCTCCTTCCGTCAGGCCCACAGCACAGTGAGGGAGTTCGGGTCGCCCTTGCTGCTTGCTCGGTGTCCAAACCCGGAGGTTTTCCCGCAGCTCCGCCTCTTCCGGCAGATCAGACCGGAGCGTCACGTGGCTGGTTCGATCTTCTCCTGGAGTCTTCGCGTATGGTGTTTTTTACTCAAGTTCATCATCATCTCTATGGTGATCAGGTGGCTTCCTTGTTGGTGTCCTACCTGCGGGCTTCTTCTCGGCGGTAGTATGAAGTTTCCCTCGGCGGCAGTATGAAGTTTCCTGGCGGTCCTTCCGGTTCTTTTTGACTCTTCGTCGTTGTGCTTCGCTTTCGGTTCGGGTGGTGGTGTCCTTTCTTTCATGGTTGTTCCAGGACCGTCATCTTAAGCCGAATACTGTCGCCTCATATCATGTGATGCTGGCGGAGCCGCTGCAACTTGCTTTTGGCATTGATCTTACTTCTGGGCCGTTTCGCAAGCTGTCTCGGGCATTGTTTCACCACCGGCATGCTCATATGCCGCCCGAGCTAATCTGGTCTTTGGACAGAGTGCTCTCTTTTCTCTCTTCTCCTCGGTTTGTGGTGGTCCCCTGCGGTTCAGGTTTGTTTCTCGAAGGCCTTTTTCCTGTTGGCATTGGCCTTTGGGGGTCGGGTCGGGGAGCTTCATGCCCTCCTCCGGCGCAGGGGTTTCTGCTCTTTCGGTTGTGGCGATTTGTTTGTTCGTCTACAGCCGTCTCCTTTTTTTCTGGTGAAGAATAACACGGCTGCTTTCCGGAGGGGTCTTTGGGTTGTTGGTGCTTGGCTGGTCAGGCCAGGGGTGCAACATGTTTTGTGTCCGGTTTTGGCCCTCTGCCGTTATTTGCGCGCCATGGCTTCTGTGTCCTGGGACGCGCTTTGGGTTGATCCGGTTTCCCCTCCTTCCCTGCTCACGAATGCGGGTCTCCAAGGTCGTCAGCAGAGTTGTTAAGGCTAGCCAGCCTGCGGTCTATCCCCATGATGTTTGTAAGTTGGCTGCTCTTGCTGCCGTTTTTGGCAACCATGTCATGGGCGGACATTCGGGCGTGAGGTTTTTAGTGGTCGAACAGGGTCTTGGATGCGCACTACCTCATGAACGTTCCTGGGCCTAGTCGGGCCTGTGTCGCTTTTTGTCGGCAGTTGCAGCCAGTTGTCTCGACTTTGGGTAGAGGAGTGAGCAGCGACTGCCTCCCGGATAAGTCCCTCTTCTTTTCCTCTGTGGGTAGTCAACTCCGGGGAAACCAGCGTTGAATGTAATGATATGTCATTTTCTGGATGAGACCCGGAGGCTCCCCGGCAACCTTCCCTACCTCAACCGGTCGGCGGTGTTCACGTGTTTTGATGTCCAGCCTCGGAACTGATGAGTGGATCTGGGGCTCCCCCTTCCCTCTCCCGGGGAGGGGGGGAGCTGCGCAGACAGCGGCGTGGCGACGTGTGACATCATGCTCGTTTGCCTGTTTCTTTTTGGGGAGTTACTTTCCACTTGTTCAGCTTTTTGTAGCAATTTTCACCAGAATAGGGGTTTGTTTTGGGACGCTCTCCTTTCTGGGTGCCTGACCCGGTCGATGGCAGACATGAATGCTTCCAACCACATGGCCATTGCTTCCCATGCCTCTCTGAGGGGGCCAGGTTCTGGCTTGTGGTCCCCGGTAGGCCCACAGAACTCCATAGACATGACTGATGTCTGACATTAGTCAGACATTAGCATTTCAGCCTGGAATAGCTCCGGGGAGCCTCCAGGTCTCGCCCAGAAAATGGCGTTTTATTACATTCAATGCCGGTTGGTTTGAGAGTATAGTTTACCGTAAAAGATTTTTTCAAAATGGCCATCGAAATATTTGCAAAATTTAGACCCAAAAAAATAATAACTTCAAAAGTAATGGGTTTATGACTAAACAAAAGCTAGGAAACCTTAGAACTAAGCACTTTGCACATAACATTTGAAAATTGTGAGAATTGGTCAGAAACTGAATTTTTGAAGCAGTTTCGGTTGAATTTTTTTTTTTAAGAGATTATTAGTTTTAATTTATCGACAATGAATATGGTAGTTCTAATTAATGAATTTTCTTGAATGTTTTAATTACCATTGCTTGGCATTCGTACTCAAATATGAGATAGCTGCAGGTCAATGTGTGTTGAAGTGAAGTAAAGAAAAAATATAACCCCCCAAAAAAACAAAAAATATAGGGATGAGTTAGGGATAACAAACATATATATTGCAGTAAATTTATTGACCATATACAAGTGATAAGCAGGCGATGAGTCACAATAACGTGGCTGAAGTATGTTGACCAGACCACACACTAGAAATTGAAGGGACGACGACGTTTCGGTCCGTCCTGGACCATTCTCAAGTCGATTGTGATAAGGCTCTCACCTGGTCCTCATTCATCAGTACAACCTAAAGAGACAAAGAAAATAGTTTGAAAGGTGAAAATAAATTGGCTAAAAAAAAGTCACAACTTCTCCCACCTGTAGCTGAATAAAATGTTGACCAATTACGTTCCAACTTTACACGCCTAGTGCCAGATATGCATTCTCCAAGATGTAGAAGTTACATGAAAATCCTATTAAAAACAAAAGGGAAATGAAAGGAGAAAAAAAAAATGGGTTGTCAGCTTTTCGTACAAAGGGATATAAGAAATACAGTACTGCCATTAGGGCACTGTATTTATATGATAATATGTTATTATGTTCTATTTTAATATATAACTCATTATTATGTGTGAAATGTGGTCCTCCAGGTGGCACCAGCTGCATATTCACTATGTAGACCTTCCTTACTACTACTTGTCTTCTTTGTACGTCGGACAGGTGCTGGCATCTCTTTATCCATGATTGCCAGTATATAGGAGGTTTTATCAGTACTGGTTGTCCTCGGTTTTGCACGCATTTATTTTTAAAAAATTGTAAAAAAATAATTTCTGAACATATTTGGATGAAAATTTCATGGCGCTGATGGCAAATGACTGGAGATTTGTTTAAAAATTTTCACTATTTTTCATATTTTGGAAAATACTCTAAGTCACTGGGCCCCTTAACTCTACAAATGAGGTGGTAGAAGTACTGGGAGAAAATAAACTTAATTATTATTCTAATATACAAACCACCAGATACAACGGCTGAAGAATTCACAAAACAGATAAACAAAATAGAGAATAACCTTAATAATTTTGCAAACCCAATACCTGGTATATTTTCCTGGGTAACTTCAACCTGTCCAGTCTAAGAGTAGCAAACAATAATATTATACCAGGAAATCTATACGGACATAACCAGCCACCGATCAGAGAACTATTTAGATTCTGTGACAAATTTTCATTCAACCAGCAGATAAGAGGCAACTAGGAACGAAAATATTCTAGATCTGATCTTCACAAACAATGAAGACATAATCAGGGACATTACGATCTCTGGTACCATATACTTGGATAACAAGCTCATTGAAGTGCAAAACATACTAATAATGACCTTTTGATAACATCTTTGAGAAGTTTGTGATACAGACAAGTTCCATTCCTTGTCATGTATGTACTGACCAGAATGGATGGTGGCACCACTACTACTTCTCAAAGATGTTATCAAAAGGTCATTATTAGTATGTTTCATCTGTATCATGTATCCTGTAAGACTTTAATTCAATAACCTCAAGAGTACTCATCACTCTAGTTTGCATATTGTATCCAAAAATCCCAAATCTAGGAACAACTAAAATCAGATTAAGAGTGAGTGAATCAAATATATATATTTCTCAATACATTCATCAAGTGTATTTAAAAGGATAGATATCATAATTCAAGCAATCAAACTGAAGGTTCACTATTAAATTACAAAGTGAGTCATTACCCAAGAATTCGAGAACCCTACAACTGTCTGCCCCTGATCATCACACAACACTTGTAACCACGACTAAGTCACCGTCACATTCACTCACCGAGGACTGAGGCTAAGTTGAATAGAGAGGGCGGGGAGGGTCTGCAGTTGTCAAGTAGCGTCACCCCCCGTCCGGCCGACAGTCTATCTCGGTAGCTGTCCTCTGCTCTGCTCTGCTGGCTGTTCTCCTATTGCTTATCCCTCCCGAATCTACAGCTCCCTCAGTATGTATTGGGAAACCTAGTAGCTAACTCCGCCCACAAGTAGATAGCCTCAGGTACTCTACCAAGCCACACCTAAAACTGGCGGCTTGTTTGAAGGCTATCAGGCTACAATTATCAGATTAGCAGAAGCAAGAAGAAATTTGCATGAGCTGACCTCAGGTCAACTTCAGGTCATTAACACTTAGGGGTTTGACTTTCAGGCCGACAGAATGGCGCCTCTCAAATTCTTGTCTCTGACTCATGTGTATCTATGTATAAATTAAATAAAACTAAACTAAACACCTTTACGGTGTTACAGATGTGATGAATAATCTATGATCTTTTCCAGTATTCTCCATGGGAGTGCCTCCTCCATATGATCTTTTCCAGTATTATTCTCCATGGGAGTGCCTCCCCCATATCACATGTTGAAAACTTGGTGATAATGATGGTAATGTGACAACAAATTTTGAAATTTAATTTATTATTAAATGGTAATTGTAGTAAAATGTTTATTACAGGTTGCAGTTGATGCAAGGAAGAGAGCATTTTCTTGGGGATTTGGAGGATATGGAAGATTGGGTCATGCCGAGCCCAAGGATGAATACATTCCCCGTTTGATCAAATTTTTTGATGGCCATAATCGTGGAGTGGAAAAAATTTATTGTGGCTCAACCTTCACCATTGGCATCAGTGCCCTGGGTATCTTCCTCTGGGGTCAAACTAGACGCACTGGAGAAGCCAACATGTACCCGAAGCCACTACAAGATCTTTGTGGCTGGGATATTAGATCTGTTGGATGTTCTGCTACCTCAGTAGTGGTGGCTGCAGATGACACTGTTATAGCATGGGGGCCCTCTCCAACCTATGGTGAACTGGTAAGTAGTATTAATACAATTACAATGTTAATCTTTATATAGTTCTTGCATTTCAGATGTTTCGGTGTCGAACAACACTAGCATTTTTCAAAAGATGGCTGCAGTCTTGAACGTGCTTAGCAATACTGTAAGGTATGGTAATTATCAGGAGAGAGTGATAAGCCATTACAACTATAGAGCACTTGGAAGAATATAAGGATAAGGATTTAAGATAGGCCGGAGGGAAGGAATGATGTCCAACCACTTGGACGGTCGGGGATTGAACGCCGACCTGCAAGAAGGAAGACTGTTGCTCTACTGTCCAGTCTGAGTGGGAGAAGATTTGTAGAAAGAATCAAATCTTATAAGATAATATAAGCTTTAATTCTTTCTACAATTTCCTTCATTGCCATTCACATAACCTTCCATTTCGTCTGTTTATTTCTCATTTCCCTGTTTGTCTTTAATTTCTTCAGGATATGGTGTCCGCACCTGTGTTTCTTGTCAGTTTGCAAAGAACTTGTATTGCTCCTATTTTCATGTAATAAAATATCTTGAACAATATGTGTAGCACTTGAGTATTTTATGCACACACTTCACTCTTGTCACAGCACTTGCTGATAACTGAAAATGTATTGGAGACATGAGTTAACTTACTGACTTGAAGTTAACCAAAAAGTGAACAAGAAGGGGGGAGGGTGGTGGTGGGCTTCAACCTTGTGGAAAGATATCGGATAAAGATTTATGGAACAATATTAGTTAAAATATAGCATAAAAATAAAAGGTAAAGAAAAATGACAGTTTTGCATCCACAAGCATCGGAGACCAGCCCAGCCCATACCTGTTGTTTTCAATTTTATGTTAACAAAAATAAAAAAGTAGTAAATGGTAATAAAAATATTATGGGACAGTCGAGTCTTTCAAATCCAAAATGCCGATTTCCATAATTCTTAAAAAAAAATTATTTAAAAAACTTGTAAAGTTATTGAAAATGTTAAATCAATTTACTGTATGTATAAAAAATAAAATAAGCCTAATAAATACGGTGCCTAACAGCTGGGTGGACAGCACTTTGGATTCGTAGTCCTGAGGTTCCGGGTTTGATCCCTGGTGGAGGCGGAGACAAATTGACAAAATGTTTCTTTCACCCTGATGCTCATGTTACCTAGCAGTAAATAGGTACCTGGGAGTTAGACGGCTGCTATGGCCTGCTTCCTGGGGGTGGAGGCCTGGTCGAGGACCGGGCCGCGGGGACACCAAGCCCCGAAATCATCTCAAGATAACCTCAAGATAAGCCTTGCATTTAAAAAGAAAATGTTTGAATAAAAAATGCTGTTGCTTGCGTGGGCAAGATTTTGCTGTACCCACTAGTGAGATTAAGCACAGTACGGGAAGGCCGACATTCTGCATTAAGGCAACGGTTAACTTTTGAAACGTCTGTCGTCATGCAGGTACAAGGAAAAGACTGGAAGATATTCATTCTATCATGAATAACCTTGAGAAGGCTTATTCAACTACACTTAACATGATTCTCTGCATCTAGGACTTTTAATTGCAGATTCTCGAGCATAAATTCCTAGAATGTAGGAAGTATTTTGCCTGAAATTCAAATCGAAAGGAAAAGTAAACTTGTAAAAGCAGGAACTTGACCTGACACCAGATCAAGTGACCAGTTGTGTACACATGGAGCAAGGGAAGGCTTGGGAGAAAAGGCAAATAATTTTTTAGAGCCAAAAGGAAGCAGTTTCAATAGGTAAAACAGAGGGAATATATGGTACACGAATTGACAAAGCCAACCCTAGACATACCAGTCACAGCTACTAGTACACCCTGCAACAGTTACAACTACGGCGGGCAACAGTACCGCAACCATCAGTACATGGCAGAACAAGTCCAATATGCCCACACATAGTGGACCTCCCTGAAAAAGAAAACAAGTAAAAATATGTCTAGTAGAGTAACCTCGGTAACCTGGCCAACATACACGGACCAAAAAAAAAAAATCGTAAATGGCCTCTTCATAGGGGCAAATGCAGTATTTGCAGCTTTCACAGAAACCCATGCAAAGGAGTAATTATTAGACAGTGTGATCTGGATATTGGAATATAATTTATATAGATGCGATAAGGTGAATAGGTCACATGGAGGAATAAGTTTGTGTATTGAGAGGAGCCTGTATGCTTAAAAACTCCTAAACTCTACAAATGAGGTGGTATCAAAAATAGAGAAAAATAAACCTAGATATTGTTCTGTATCAAATGCCAGATGCAACAGTTGAATTCATAACAGATATATAAGCAAAATAGAGAATAGCCTAGACAATCTGACAAACCCAATGCCAAATATTATTGAAGACTTCAACCTGCCAAGATGGCAAATAGCAAACAATGTTAAACCGGAAAATAACCAACAGCAAGTCTGAGACATTCAAATTTAATATGTGAATTGACAGGGAAAATTCAACATAGAACTTGTAAACATTTAATGTGAAACTGGTTCCAAATCTGCATGCAGAAATAACACCAAATGAGACCAGAAGGCATGGCAGTATAGGCAAAATAGCCCCAAGAGATGCAGTAGGCATGCTGAGAGAGAACTCGATTAACATCAAAGGCCCATCCACATCGAACAGCCTGCTTGATCAGAACAGCAACCAGGAGGCCTAGTCAGATACCAGCCCGCGGAGACATTTATCCTCGTAATCATCAACAGGAAGTCATCCATGAAACCAGAGGCCAAAACGGGTTCCCTCCACAGGAGCAAAGAGTGGAGGATACTATATTACTAACCGAGAAAATTGCCCTCAAAGAAAGAAGAGACAAAACGGACAACATAAAGGCAAAATTAAACAAAACAGGAAACGAGACATCCAGCAGAGAGGTCGCTTCACCACTAGTTCCACCACTGGGAGGATAACCATGAGCTAGTGGCTCATGAGGTGGACCACCTTCAGTCATGTCCCAAACCGAAGCAAACTGAAATTCCGTTGGGGAAGGGAGGGTCCAGGGAGCCACCTTGCATCCACCAGAAAGAAGCATTTCATTACACTCGATGCAAGATTTTTATCAAATTCAAATGTTCTGGATTTTTTAATCTCTTGAAACTAAAGTACAGAGGGTACCATAAATTGATTGCCTCCTCACTTCACCACCATTGTCATAGGATGTAATAAGTTTTCTTTCTCTCTTCTAGGGTCTTGGAGAGAATATAAAATCGAGCACACAACCAAAAGAGGTGAAAGCACTGGAGGGAGCTCATGTTATGCAAGTTTCGTGTGGAATGGGACATGCAGTGATGATAGTCCGGGATGAATCGGAGAAAGACAAAGAGATTTTGGAAAAACTGAAGGAAATCACACTGTAAAAGATTTGCAATTGTCAAACAAGATTGCAAAAATTGTTTACAAGCATAATTTTTTATGAAAAATATCTTCATAGGAAGGTATGGGATTTGTCTCCTTATTTTCTTTTTTATATTTCCTCTCCTTTTTTGGGACATTTCATAATACATTCTTTGACTTTCCTGTATTATTTTTGTATCTTGAAACTTTAGAAATTTGTATATTTCAATTGTATAAACATTTCATATAAACACCTGGAAGTCAGGACAGTTGTGGGTAAATTTCCTAGTATCAGTTGAAAGTTTCTCACTGGCTCCGATGCGGAGAAACACCACCACCACCACTACTGGTGGTGCTGTTTCACAAGACACTGGACGACTTAAATCTCCCATTTTACAAGACAATGGATGACTTAAATCTTGTTTTACATTATAGTGGATGACTAAAATATCTTGTTTCATAAGACAGTACACGAATTAAATTTTACATGAAGTATAAAGGGCACCAAGTGTTTTTAAGGAGTTGCACGAATTACAACTATCATCCGTCTGACAAGGGCGTATTTTGGTGTCGGTACAGCAACCTTATAACTTACCATAAGAATGCTCACTAATATTAGGAAATCACAGCATGAAGGCAATATTACAGAATTTAAGTTTTTTTTGGCCCTTGGAATACACAAGTACCTTCCCAGAGGTTTTAGTTACTTTAAAGATCCTATAATTATATTGTCTTCATCAGTAAACGCAGGAAAAAAAGCTATGGCCCTGGTTTTCTATACTACTACATGTACAAAATAGTGGCAAGATGCTTCGCTAAAGTCCTATTCACAAAGTGCGTGTTATTCCATGAGATAATTCTGGGTAGCTAGCTCTTCTACCTCGTGCTAGAGTGAGGTTTATACAGGAGGTTTAAACCATCTCTTGTCTTTTAGACTTTCCTACTTGAAAAGTTGTGTAACACTTTTGGCTTGTCAAGGAGTAAGTAACTTTACCTTCCAGAAGTGAAGTAATCTGTATTAATACATGTATGTAAATGTTTTATATATATAATATATATAAATTGTGTATTATATATGTATTATATAATTTATTATATACATATATATAAAATGCATTCAAAGGAGTGCATGAAGGAATTTATTGATTCAGTGTACTTAGTCGAATGTCACATTGTGTCGGAAATATGATTTACTTGTTTATACAGTATCTGGCACTTCCTTCTCCGAGCTGTTGCAGTACAATGAGTTTGAGAGTTCCGTGACCTATGAAACATTTATGCATGGTAAGATTGCATCGTTGCTTTATAATGCTTCCATTGCCTCAAGTACTCTTGATAGGAGTCGTTAAGACTCTCGGGTTAGCAAATGTGTGAAACACTCGACTAAGATGTATGAACCATGAGAGATGTGTAAACATAGCAGTGAATGCATTTTGCTGCTGTAATTTGCCCCCATGCCTTTCTTCCTCGTCTTTCTTATCTTGATCTTAGACTGTTGTTTCTGCCACTTCCTACTGTCCCCTTTCTGCCTGCCCTCGGTCCCCCTTCTACCTACCCCTCTGTCCTCTTCTCTCTACCCTCTGTCCTCTTCTCTCTACCCTCTGTCCTCTTCTCTCTACCCTCTGTCCTCTTCTCTCTACCCTCTGTCCTCTTCTCTCTACCCTCTGTCCTCTTCTCTCTACCCTCTGTCCTCTTCTCTCTACCCTCTGTCCTCTTCTCTCTACCCTCTGTCCTCTTCTCTCTACCCTCTGTCCTCTTCTCTCTACCCTCTGTCCTCTTCTCTCTACCCTCTGTCCTCTTCTCTCTACCCTCTGTCCTCTTCTCTCTACCCTCTGTCCTCTTCTCTCTACCCTCTGTCCTCTTCTCTCTACCCTCTGTCCTCTTCTCCCTACCCTCTGTCCTCTTCTGCTTACTGTTTTCATTATCCCCTTACTCCCCTTCTTTCTAACTTGTTAAATAATATTCTATCTTCCTTTCACCCTGAATATTTCTTCCACCCTCTCTTAATTGTTTTCCTCTCCCCTTTCTTCTCTTCCCCCTTGCCCTCTTCTTTTCACATCTTTGCCTTTCTTAGATCTCTCCATTCCTTCTTTCCTCGCCTTCCTCTCCCATTTTTCCTCCTCTCGCATTTCTTCCTTCATATCGTTCCTTGCTTTTCCTCTGCCATTGCTCTGTTTTTGTTCTACCTTTCCTCCATGTCTTCCTTCCCCTTCCCTCAGTGCTAGTCCAAATGTGTAATACATTGTTCCTTTGACATGCCGCATCAAATTTAATTGCATTCATGAACATTAGAATACATAATTACTTCAGTGAAACATTTGAATCTTAGATATTTTTAAAGGAGCTACAGTTTTCACTTAAATTGCTTTTGTGTATCAAAACCTTGCTGAACTTCTTCCACCTCTGTAAAATACCATCTGATTATTTCTTTGATTTTATTTCCAAATATGCTTGTCATTTGGGAAACCAGTTTGTATGCATGGTACGTTAGAATTACAGTCTGTTCTTGTTGTTCTCAGATATGGCTGCTTTGTTGAATGTCGTAACCATCATGTCATTTTGTACTTGGAAGGAGCAAGCTTCTACAGAATACCGCTGGGGGGGTTTTAACAATGTTTGAGAACATAACTGTTACCTCCGGATAGGGTTTCTCACTGGTGTCACTGTTGTTGGTGCGTATGTGATCAATATTTTGGATAATGCTTCTGGATAACCCTTTGATATTGTGGTTGAAGAGAGCTCCTCTCTTCCCATATTATGCTTTACTGATGAGATCAAGGAGATATTGTTCTATAAACACATTCCAGTTAGATGACAACATATATACCTCCTGGGAATGATAATTTTTATCTCATTGTTAGAGAGGATATAGCTTTACTTGACAAATGCTGAAAGATAACTAATAGTTTAATTTAAACTACTTTTGATCCCCCACTTGTAAAGAACTAAGCTTCAAAAAGTTTTGTAAAATTGTTGAATACACAAATAGTTAACTTATACGTAAGTTGATTTACTACCTCAGTTTGTGTGGTTGCTGCACTCTACTGAGGGAGGCAGTTTGCTTATAAGGCCCTGGGTGTTTGCCCTCACAAATACTGGACTCCTGGTGATGTTCAAGATGCATCTCTTTTTTTATGGCTTTAAATATTTGTATATTATAAGTAATTGAATCATACTGTATAATAGGACCGAGATATGTTTGCTGACAGTGTTAAAGACTACAAATTCCAAGGTCACAATCTCATGTCCTTCTTAGGAATAGCTTTAAATTTGTATATTAACCATATAACGTCTTGATATAGAATACTTTTTGACAGGACATAAAGTTTTGTATTGCACAAAAAAATGCCAAAAAACAAATAAACTTAATTGTATGTCTGTCCACAAACTCACAATTAACTGTATAAACATTTTCTTTGAAAGAGATGTAGCTTATATGTCAGGGGATAATCTAGAAGGTTAGTCCTAAACTCATTGTGTACCTGACTTACATTAGTTTCTCAGTACCATGACTGGGTGAATAAGCACCCATAAGGTTGTTAGTGGCGATTGTTAATGTATTGTCTAAACCTTTGTCTTGGCAACAATCAAAGTTCACGATACACTGCCCTTAAACCTAGACTACTGATGGATTTCTTAAAAGATTGAGCAGCTGCAAGCTTCACTTTCTTAGCTACAAAATAACCTTTCAGAATATCACTTTGCCTTTTGCTCAATTTGTCATCATTGCCTGTCAACTTTGGAATATTTTACCGAGATATTTCCGTCTCATTATTTGTCACTTCCGTAAGAATGAACTTTTTCAAATTTTTGTTGTAATTTATTTTGTAGTAATGATTTAATAACGTGCATGCAGCATTTTTCATAAAAAGCTCCGTTTTAAATTGGGACAATGAAATGGGAGTAAACATGTTGAAGGCTACTGCTGTGTCACTTCAGAATCTAGATATACAGGTATTGATTTTGGATTACCTTAGTCTTACTCTGGGAGAAATGGTGTTGGTAATGAAGTGCCTCACACTACAAGGAAATTGAATGAAAGTTTTAGTTTAATAGTATTATTTATGTATACATGCCTGATATTCACATTGAATAACTGGTTAATTCTTCACCTTTCCAAAGTCCTTTATTTTATATATATATATTTTTTTTATTTCAGTCTGCCAATAGTTTAATAGTGCATTATGCAACTTTACAAGTGTGCCTATATGCAGCCTGCTCTGGTTTGTGTTATTCATTTATAAAAGTTTGCAAGTAATGTTGTCCTTTGTTAGGTTACCTGTTTACCCAGCAGCCAGCTGGTGTTACTCGACACATGAGGGTTCAGAGAGGTAATTAGCACGCCAGGTGTGAATGGCTAGGAGGCTGGGCATGATGAACTAGATCTCGTGCCCACATAGGAACTGATAGGTAAGCACTGGTAGATAGACCACCCAGGCTGCAGTGGATATGTGGGCCTTCGGGCCGCTCGAAGCAACAGCCTGTTGGACCAAATTATCTCAAGTTGGGCCAGACTTGGGAAGTAGAAGAACTCCTGAAACTGTCTCCAGGTATGCTCCAGGTAAGCTGTGTTTGATCACACATACACTTGGACCAAGCAAAGGTTAGCTACTATTAGAAAATTCGAAGCCAGAGTCAATTTAGGGGATATAAATATGCATTGTTTTGCTTTGCTGTTCCTTTAAATAATTGCCAGGGATTTCCTTAGGGATATTTTTTATTCTTGCAGAAGTTAGTTGAAGTGTTTATTATTTGTAGAATTATTTAATAATAAAGGACTCGCTCACAGATGTATAGACCATGCAAGTAACTAATTGTAATAATAACAGGTTACTTAAAATTGATCTTCTTTTGATAATTACTTACCCAAAATTGATATTGGGCAACACATTTTCAGTACATTGCTTTTGTTACTATATTTGCAATAAATGGGCTTCCAGCTTCATGGTAAATGTCATTACAGGGAATACCAACATGTATGGGTTATCTGTGTTTTGGGCCAAGTTTGTTACCCAAGTACGGTTAGTTTCGTGTTCACATTCTTTTGCACAAATGTTTTTCTAGTAGCATTATTTTCCAAATAATATTGTCCAGAACAAAAGCCTTGTTTGTCAATATATCACAGAGGTATTCAATATGTTTTACACATTCCCTCTTCTAAATTAGTGGCAATATTTGTTAGAACATCGCTACATTACAGTAGGATAGCCATGCCAGAGAGGATACCTTGAAAGATTAATGGTTCAGATTGGGGGAAAAAACATGTTAAATATCTGAAACCATTATTTTGTCATCCTTTAATTTTTTGCTATTGAATTTGGTTATTTAACATTTTTGTTGCCAAACTGTGTGAATTCTCAATTCTTCGTGGACCAGCAGAATAGAGAATTATAACATGGGGGAATGTTAATGATCAGGTTGCAAGGTGTTTCAAACGATGGGAAGTATTACCACACATTAACATTGATCCTGAAAATGATTTATTGTTACAGAATTTACTCTGAAGAATCATGTTTTACCAGTAGGCCTAAGCATGGATGATTTTGGTAGGCTTGTTGGAAAAGTGTGATGATATTTCTGGGAGTGGGGGGGGGGGGTTAAATAATGTATAATAAATGTTGGTGTTATATTTAGTTTAGCATATACAGTACAAGATGGCAAAAAACACAAATTTTATATCTAGGAAATGTTGGTATTGTGCGCTCACGTGGAGACTCATGAGCTACTCGCTGGTAAGACACTTGAACACAACAGTCGGGTGTGATTGAAATTACCGGTAGTTCTGTGCTCAGTAACTTTTAATTGTAATGACTTAAGATATTTTAAGTGATTTTTAATTCATATTTTTTTGTCACTCTCAATACACTTCATGTATAGTGAATTTGTATTTTTGTTTGCTTAAATTATGTTTGTGTTTTTCTTAGGAATTTAGCTTGTTTGGGATTTTTATGGTTTATTGTAAAAATTGCAAGACTCGTATTTAAAGTTGAAACAGTGTGTGGATTTGGACTTTGCATATTAGGAGGTTAACATGTACCACGTCCCTTCTTGCACTCGGAGCTGTGTGGCAGAGAAAATGTCATGCACTCGGAGCTGTGTGGCAGAGAAAATGTCATGCACTCGGAGCTGTGTGGCAGAGAAAATGTCATGCACTCGGAGCTGTGTGGCAGAGAAAATGTCATGCACTCGGAGCTGTGTGGCAGAGAAAATGTCATGCACTCGGAGCTGTGTGGCAGAGAAAATGTCATGCACTCGGAGCTGTGTGGCAGAGAAAATGTCATGCACTCGGAGCTGTGTGGCAGAGTCATGCCACATTACCCACGTGCCAGAACATGAACAGCAACTCTCGGACTGTTTGAACACGTGTCACTTGCTTGCCCAAGGAATTATAAACCATTTTTAGTATAGATCTAGTTTGGCAGATTATATACTGTGTGAAAAATAAAGAACATGAACAAAAGTGAATTACCCTAATAGAGAAAATATAAAATTCAAATGAAGGTTGGTTAATTTGTAGATGTAGCGAGCTACAAGTTGTATGTGTAACAGATTCATTGGTGTAAATGTGGCTCGTTTGATGATTAGTTACCAAGAGAAGGAACATTTTATGCACCCGTGTGCTTCAATAAGGACCAAAAGCCAGCCGATTTTATTTTTTAACCTATACACACAAATTGTTTCAAATTTGAAAATTGGTTCATTAATACAGTAGAGGAATGCTTAGTATACATTACTGTAGTTACATGCATCTTTATTTTACTAGGACAAGCTGCTTTCTGCCGATTTAAGGCATCCATACACGTGTGCATTGTATAGTACTGTACTTTCTAAGCAAATTCATGTATAATCAGCAGGCAATTTTGGATTTATATATTTTGTGTGCAATGGGGACCCTTGAATGTGTCGTATGTTTGCTCAGGATAGTGAACCAAGAAGGTGTGCGTGCCTCATTAGGTTTAAGTTTTTATCTGTTTAATTTATTTGATTATGTTAACTTTAAGCTTGGAATAACTTGCTAATTTTAGGTCATCTTCATCATTTTTGTGTTAGCAATATATTCTGGGATTGTTAGAGACTGAAATAGCACCCAAAACCTGCATTGTCTGCAGAGTATTATGAAGCAGTCAGTGGGATCTTTAGTGAGACTTAGCAGTTTTTTTTTTATTTTAATTGGTATACGAGGCTTTCTTGATGGCAAGTATTAGAATGTTATTGATGGTTCTCGTTCTTTTACAGTATTGGAAAGGGTTTATGGTACAGTCCTTGTTCGTGTTAAAGCTAATAGGTTATACCAGGTCACACTGTAAAGGGAAGTAAGTACCACGGCCACTTAGTCGGCTGCTTGAGTGTAGCAACTAATAGTGTTGCATTACCCTGGAAGCATTAATGACAAATGTTATATCTCCTGCATAGACAATGATCAAGGGGCTCGCCTGTAACATTGTTTCGAGGCCATTGATTCAAGTGTAACGCATCTTTACCAGTGAAAGAAGGCTTTGCTATATTTAATGTTTTGAAGAAAAAGTTTGCCATTTTGTTTAGTGCTAATTTTCTTGTATGTCATTTCACAATACTCCTTTATTTGGACCTGTACAGTGATAGGTTTTGTTAGTTTTAATCGAGATGTCTTATTGAAGTATTACATTTCTTTGATTTTCCAAGTAGCAGTCATATAATTGAACTCTGAAAGTACTATTTAACATTCCTTTTAATGTAGGGATGGAAAATGATTGTTATTTTTCTTCAGTAAAAGATTCTCAAATCATGATAATAGCAATTTTTTTTTTTAATTACCTAGTTCTCTTTGTAAATTTAGCACCTAACTAGTCTAGGTTTAGGATTAACATGTATAGAATATGCATGTACAACTTAATTCGCAGTTTCATGAAGATTTTAGATACGTAGAATCACTTTTTACAGCCTATTTATTTTTATACCATGTGTGATGCAACTCATGGACACAATTCATCAGTATTACAAGAACAATTGTTTTGGCATTATATCAAACTATATTTTTGCAGTACCTCATTCAGAATTCTAGGAGTTGAAATTTGAGCAACTTTTGCTCAAAATGCTTAAATTTTTTGCAATAGTAGATTTAAATGTGCTATTATTTTAAGATAATTGTAACTTTTGTCTCCTGACATTCTTGTTAATATAAATGATATTATTGGAAATGGCATTTGCCAAAATAAATAAAAAGTTGAGGCTGCATTAGCATCATACTGTAGTGGTTGTTTTATTTGTCACCTTTGAGACATGTTGAACTATTATATAATGTCTGTAACAGAGATACATTTTATATGACTCGTATTGTGTGCTTGTGCTCGTGTATTGGCATACTTCACGTTATCTGGGACCCTTTAGACGTGGTGTGATGGTGCTTATAGCCATCCAGGCTTCAAGATTTCCTTTGACCTTTACTTGGTTTTATTTACCACATCATGTTACAGAATATAATACAGTAGTATAATAGTTTGCAATGTCTAATCTATACTGCTTTAACGAGGCAAAAATTACGGGATTTCCCTCATTCTCTTACTGATGATTATTCTTTGGCCACCTTAACTTTGTAGCTGTCCCCATGTATCCCTCGAAATGTTTCACCATGTGGTGAGGTGGCTTGTATGATGCCCTGCAGACAGGGGGAAAAGGATTGCCTTGGTCCCCTCTCCTGCCCCTCCGAGTGTGTTGTACATGAGCAAAGAAACAATGTAGGGTACCTGATCAAGTTATCAGACTACCTACAATAGGGGATGCCGGTGAGAGGCTGCACTAGGAAGTAGGTCAGTCTTGGCTGAGGTACTATGGAAGAAGAGACCTTTTCAGCAGTGTTTGACAATGTTTGATGCAGAAAAAGAGGGTACCACTGCTTGGGACGATGCACCCTTTCTTGCACTGGCCAGTGCTTTGCTTCCCCTCTACTGCCCTGGTAGGTCCAAGCGCCTAAGTCAGGCTCAAACCTGTCTTCAATGTTGGCTCACTCTGCTGATCCTTTTCATCCAACAGCCATGGCAGGATCAACCCCAAAGTCTCCATTGGCGACTACATCTCATTTTTGGTAATCTCTCATGTTGTCACTCTGAGTGACTCCAGGTAAGAAATCTTTGGTTGTTACAACTCGTCTTCAAAGTCCATTCCATCTAGCGGTCGACCCCAAAGATGCATTCGTTAATTTTAACATTCTGTTCATTCAAAATAAAAATCTTCTCAAACATACATTAATATTGTTTTATACTGTATTAGCTGTATACTGTATACTGTATTAGCATATTGTGTATATTTAGGCATTGGTTAAGTTAGGTGTTTATGTTCCGTTGGCAATTATTTGTTTGTGTAGTACATGGGTGAAGCATTTAAAGCGGTGTGGTTCAAACAAAAGTCGTCAGAAGCAGCCCATCCTCCAAACAAAGATCCAAAAGTGATAACATGCACACGCCAAACCCCCTGTTTATGAATGAAAAAAGGTTTACACACGACTCGCAACTGATGACGTTCGAACACTTCCGGAACAAGTGCTTTACTGACGAATTTTGTTTGAACCACAACGCTGTAAATGCTTCACCCACGTACTGTACTACAAATACAAATAATCGCCAACAGAACCTAAACACCTAACCTAACCTATGCCTATATATGCACAATATGTTAATATATTATAATATTCATTTATATTTGAGAAAATTCCCATTTTGAATGAACAGCATGTAAATATTTATGAATGCGTCTGTGGGGGTCGACCGCTGGATGTAATGGAGTTGTTGAGGACGGGTTGCAGAGAAGAACTTCTGGAAGTGTTTGGAAATAAATCATCAGGTGAGTCGTGTGTGTGTAAACCTGTTTTTCTTGCATTCTTGTACAGCCACTAGCACGCAGTGTTTTGGGCAAATCCCTAATCCAAATGTTCACAACCCCCCCCCCCTCCCCAGGAAGCAGTCCATAGTAGCTGTCTAACTCCCAGGTACCTATTTACTGCTAGGTGAACAGGTGCATCAGGGTGAAAGATACCCTGTCCATTGTTTCCTCCTCCGCAAATCTGACTGGCCCTGCTACATGGTCTAACTGTTTTGATGTCTGTCATGATGACCCTTCCTGGCCTGATGATTTACACGTATATAAACACCTTGTTGACTCTGTGGATACATATTTACATTAATCTTGCTCTCGTTGTCCAGCCTGTTGTTGGTGTAAGGGGGCTTGATGGGCGGCTGTCGGAGTGTGATGATGGATTGGTGTTTCATCTGTAAGTTCAAACAGGCCATCCTGCACCTTTGACATCATGATCACATTTTTGTCCCCAAAACAAGACGCCAGGTCTGCTGCCCTTCTTTGTTTCCTGGCACGACTTGTAGTCCTGCATTGTCATGCTTCCCTGCCCCACCCTCCTAAAGGTTCACAGCTGTTAAAAGTGCCTTGGACCCCGACACATCCACAAGCTCTTCTTCCCTGGTTCATCAACCTTGAGTCAATGTTCCTTTGGTGCCACCATCCAGTATTTCTGCCCTGCCTTCCCAGTTATCCCCTACCTATCGTTTTCATATCGCCATTCCACCTCTTCGATCTTGTTTATCCTCTGTGGGGGCCCTCCGACTCTTAGTCCTGTCTTCCTTCTCTGTCTTTTGGCCCTTCCTAGCATATGACTGTTTGGGTCAATATCCAACCTCCATCTATCTTTTCTCATGTCTCTCACTTTTGTACTCCCCCCCCCCCCATCTGAGGCGATTATGGCTCTCAGTATCTTGATACCGTTCCTGTGTTTGTCAGTCAGAAATGCAATCCTGGTTCCTCTTCCTTACCAGTGGAAAAGAAGGCATTAGTCCTTTTTCCCTCCTTGTCCCTCCATTTCTGTTCCTTCCACCATTTCGCTAGCGGAGCCGTATGACCTTGTTATAGGTGGTTACATTGATTGCCCTTGTGCCTTCTTCTGACATTGACCTTTGTTTGGAGCATGCCATCATTTCTATCCTTATTCGGCCATCCCCATTGACCACCCCCTCATCAGGGCCTTCTTGCCCTGCCGACTAGCCTCTGCCCAAGCTTCTGCTGAACTTGCCTATGACATCATTTCTCTAATACTGACCTTCCCCAGTTCTGTGCTCTCTTTTTATCTACTTATCATGAATGTTTCTTATTTCCAATAAATTTAAGTCAGTTGAGTTTTGCTGGGTTCCCAGCCATATTGGTGTCTTTAAATGAGTGTGCAGACGCTGCCGCTAGGGAAGCTGTCCGCTCGGTCCCATCTCCTGTAAAGGTATTCCTTATTCCGACTTTTACCCGGTTATTCATTCCTCCATCCTTGCCCATTGGCAGGATTGTTCGTCTTCTGTTACTGGTATCAAACTGCGTACTCTTAAGAGTAGTGTCCTCATGGCCTTCCTCCTACCACCGTAACCGGCGGTGGGAAACGGCTCTGGCGAGGTTGCGTATAGGCCATGCACTCTTAACTCACGGTCACTTAATGGAGCGCCGCCCTGCTCCTTATTATCCGAATTGCATTGTCCCTCTTACGGTCGTGCATATTCTTGTTGAATGTTCTGACTTCCAAGACGAGCGTGTGTCTTGCTTTCCGTCCCCCGCAGTCGCTTGTCCCTCGATAGAATTCTTGGCGAATCAAATACTTTTGATTTCGTTCGCCTTATGCATTTCTGTTCTCGTATTGGTATCCTTGATATTTAGCGCTCTGATTATTCCCCACATTTAATGGTCCTACATTGCCTTCCCGGCTTGCTTTCTTTCGATAAATGCTTGCTTGCTTGTCCTATTTGGTTCCATAGTTCTTCCTGTCTCCCCTCCCCTCCAGGTTCTTATGGTACCTCCAACTCTAATGATCTCTTGATTCGGATTGATGTTCCATACCTTTTTTTTTTCTTCAATAAATCGCTAATTTTACTGTTGCTCGTATCTTTGTGAAAAAGTGATATACAATTTGTTCTATTTATCACCCTCCATGTGTTCCGATTTCTCTTCTTGATCTCGAGCACCTTTTAGACTTACTGCTGCAGTCTTTGCTCCTTTTGGGTGATTTTAACTGTCGACATGCCCTCTCTAGCGATGTCCTTACAAATACTCTTACAAATGCCTCACAAATAAAGGCAGTCTTCTTGACCCCTTTCATCCCCCCTCTTCTCCTTTGGTTTTGCTGAATTCTGGCGAGTCAGCTCATGTTGACTCTGCACTCACGCACGTTCTTGACTAGACCTTTCTGCTCCTCCATTTACGTAGACCTGACACGGCGAGTCCTTGATGACCTTAAAAACGGTGACCATTTTCTCATCCTCGTATCCCTCTTTATTATCCCCCCCCCCTTCTCTTTCTTTCTCGATGCTGCTCTTCCTGCCCGTATGATCTCTCTCCTCTCCCTTCTCATTTTTTCCCAACTCCATAATAGACGCTGCTCTCTCTCACAACCCGTCCACAACTCTAATCCATTACATCCAGCGGGTTGACCCCACAGACGCATTCATAAATGTTTACATGCTGCTTATTCAAATCAGGATTTTTCTCGTATATAAATTAATATTATAATAGCATGTTGTGTATATATAGGCATAGGTTAGGTTAGGCGTTTAGGTTCTGTTGATTATTTGTAGTACGTGGGTGAAGCATTCACAGCATTGTGGTTTGAACAAAATTAGTCAGTGAAGCACTTGGTCCGCAAGTGTTCGAATGGAATCAGTTGAGTCGTGTGTGTAAACCGTTTTTCATTCATAAACGGGGTTTGGCGGCTGCACGAAATCACTTTGGGGGTCTTTGTTTGGAGGACGGGCTGCTCGCTCAACATGTCATTCGTGGCGAACGGAAGTGTTGTTTCTTGGTGGAAAATTCAGTCTGCTTGGGTTATGCTGTAAGCGCAGACTGGAAAAGGTACCGTCGTTAGGATACATCAGTCTTTTCTTTTGTGTCAATGGAAGTGCAGTGGCCTGTAGGGCCATTACACACAGAAATCACAGTAGCGTGATGCATCAAATGAACAAATCCACAAGGGCCGTGACGAGGATTCGAACCTACGTCCGAGATCATCCCAGATGCTCCCTTTATCGACTGAGCTACGACATGGTCAAAAAGAGTTGAAACCGAAATTCTACTGAACGTAGTGGATGCTACAGCCTCTCCGAGACACAAACCAGGGTTTTACACAACTCTCCCATGCACTCGAGCTATGTCAATAAGCCGTTCTCACTCTTCGCCCTTACTTCATTACACACACAAATCACAATAGCGTGATGCATC